CAACATTGCTGTAGGGTTCGGAGAGACTCGCGTGTTTGATAACAATCCAGTGCACTGGACATAATCCCGCACAGCAGGCTTCTGGGCAAACGTATGAATTTTAGGGGAGAGAAATATTTCGGCTTCTGCCAAAACACTGGTAACTGGGCTCCGCGTGATCGCCGGAGAGCAGGGAACTGGCCGTGGGCACAGGCTTTCCTCCCGCGCACCCAGTGCGGCTCCTTGGAGCTGGCCTGTGGGGCAGCGCCCTCCTCCTGGGGCAGGCACGAGTTCCACCTCAATGTCCTGTCTCCTGGACGGGAGTTCTCCACCTCCCAATGTGTGGGCCAGCATTTCTCAAAGTGTGTCCCCAAGGAGCACAGGTGCCACGGACAAGAAGCAATCATCAGTCAAATAATCTGCGGAAAGTGCTGCATGTGATGTAGCCCACAGTCAGTGCAAGTGTAAGGTCATGTCACCAGGAAGAGTGTCACTAAGCTTGTCTGGCCCTCGGGCTACTTGACGCGAACCTTTTTTCCCTACGGGCATGTTACTGAAATCGTACATCAATTTCGGAATGTCTCCATCCACCGTTCTGGTATTTATTCATTCATTCCTTGGCCACTGATATCCAATCTAGTTACAACGGATCGAAGGCAGCTTGTAATAAAAGGCATCGCTGTAACAGGATGATTAAATCAGGGCCGCACAATAAGAGCAGGGAATGAAAAATTAGTGGTTTCATGACTAAACGGAATAACCAAGACGGAGGAATCAATCATTGTGTCCAGAAACTCGTTGTCCCCACCGAGCAGCAGGAAGTACAGTGGAGGGTACTGTCAGCCTGGGCCACAGGGACACCTGGGGAACTCACCGAAGTCTCAGGTCGGTCACCAGCTGCGTGCCCTCCCCAGGGCTGTGCCAATGCGCTCAGCCACCTTCCCACACTCCGTCAGAGAAGGAAACAGGTCGTGTCCAACCAGGACAGAACCTTCAGCCCCCTGTGCCGCTAAATGCAGAAGCCCCCGGAAACATGTTCATCAGGAGGCCCTTTCTTTCCTTAACAGATCCTCAATCAACTTAAACGGAGATTGTTGCTTTGCCTTTTTTTTTT